ATGGGTGTCTTTATTTGCCGCACGACTCTTAATGGTCTTGTTGACATGGAATTTATTTTTTTCATAATAATATAATAAAAACTGAAAAGCGTCATGCAAAAAAAGAAAAAAATGACATTCGGCATCCGAAATAAATGTAGATTTTCTATTTAAATAAAATTACAACATTGATGAGTCAAGACTATCACTTTCAAGTACTATCACTTTCACAGATTCCCGTGTACAAAAACCAGTGTAATAGCGAATTTCATAATTGTCATAGCGAAAGAGGACGTCATTTTGGGACTATACATACATTATAATACTTAAATTAAAGTTTAATGAAAATTTTTCACATGCAATTTACAGAGCTTCGATAAATTATCGTATTCAAAAGTTATTTGAGAATGAAAGTGAAGAAATAAGAATTTTTAAGATTTTGAAAATTTTTAATTCGTTTCATTTCCTCATTACTCGACCAAGTAAACTCATCTTTGAACTCGATCTTGGTATTCATCTGTAGAATAAGTATGGTATGTTTGGTAAAAATCCGTAATGATTTAGCAGGGCTATCGTCGTGATAAGCCGCGTTATCTATACTTCTATACTAATATTATAAAGAGGAAAGATTTGATTGTTTATATGTTTGTTTGTTTGTTTGTTTGAATCGAATAGGCTCCGAAACTACTGAACCGATTTGAAAAATTCTTTCACTGTTGGGAAGCTACACTATCCCCAGGTGACATAGGCTATATAACATCATAATTAATGTTGAAATTTTTGTTAAATAGCAGCGCAAAGCCGGGGCGGACTGCTAGTATCTTATAAATATATACATACATATATAATAAACTTTTAAACCATACGTATTTTCTAAACCAGCTCGACGAACTGAGTAAGGAAACAGCAAATTTTTTCAAACGTTTCATCAAGAGGACAAATTTAATAATTAAATTTCTATGAAATTTATCAAAAACATACGATAAAAGTATCAAGGACAAATTTTTTTTTCCTCACTTTTTTGCTCTGAAACTAATTAGATATATTTTTTCGCGCAGATGCGACTGGTGTGACGAAAGTATGTATAAATAATTTGAAAAACGGTTGACCCTAAAAGCCATCCCTGCAACTTCTCGCTAATTTCATACTTAAGCGCTCAAAATTGCAATCACTACGTTTTTGAGCTCTTCGAGCTCTAAAATCTAATTTTTGTGTCATTTTTAGCTCTCCTAGCTCAAAAGTCTGGTAAAAGTGTAATAAAACACTATTTCTTAAATTTTCAAACCGCAATAACTTTTGAATGAATAAACCGATTTTCATGCAGTTGGTGGCATTCGACGCAGTTTTTTAGGCCCCATAAAGAATGTTCAAGTTTCAATTGATCGAAGTAGGAATTTCGATAAAATCCCGAAAAAACATTGTTTTCGGTTTTTTTTCGACAACGATAACTCACGAACGAATCAACCGATTTCGAACGGGCTAGCGGCGATCGATGTCGTTTTTTCATGTTAAGAGCTGATTAGTTTTTGGAATTGATCGGTAAAGCTGTTTAAAAGTTATTCCAAAGAAACTACATTTGGAAAAATTTTTTTTTGAAGTTTTTTTGAGATTTCTCAAAATCTACTGGTGCCTTGACTTCAAGTATGTCAGAGTCCCTACCTTTGAGCATAAAGTATCGAACAAAATTTTTTGTCATATCAATTGCGAAGTTTTGTTTGAGAAAACAGTCAAAAACTTTTTATTACTGTTTATTTTATGTAGCGTATTTTAGTAGTTGTGCAGGAATGTAGAGACAGATTGAAAGAAAGAAAATAGTTACTTTTCAATACTAGTGCGAGGTAAATTTACTTAACTATCGTTTGCCAGAAATCGTATTCTTTGCACCCTTTGTGTGTTGCTCAGAAATCAAACATTCGCGGTTGATTTATTATAAATAATAAATGATATAACTAAAACAATATTTTTTACACAATGCAAGTAAATTTAAGTTCATCCAATAATTATTTTTGTTATTTTAAGCAATAATAAAAATATATTCGACAAAAAGATAAAATGACAAATCAGAATATATTCAATTCAGAAGTAAACAAATGAGAATTTCGAAATAAAACCCTGATACGAAATAGATAGTTAAAAAATCTATTACGTATCAGAGCGTTTCTTTCCAAATTATTCTTTGTTTAGGTGGAAAATATAAAGCTGTAATCGTAAGAACCGGCTGTTAGTGTTGAAAAATTAATTACTTGGAAAAACAAAAAATTATTTTTAGGAGCTTCTAGATCTTAGAAGAACCGTTGGAAATATAACATAACAAAAATTGGGCCAAGTATACATAATTTTAATTTTTCAATTTCGAAATTCTTCAATTTCTATATTTTTAAAAATGTTGTTTTTTTTTTTTTTTCATTGCCGCCAATGTCGTTTTTGACACTGATCCACAACGATTCTTGTAAGTACAATCGTTTGTCAGGTTTCTAAAAAATAAATTAGAAACTTCCGGTACATGGTAAAATTTTGCATAACTTTTATAACTAATTTAAAAACGGTTTTTTCTTGCTCAGGAAAAAAGTAGTACGCGGCATCATACTTGACCAGCCAGGAAACTAATATGATCATGTATGATTGTTTAAGGCCATACTCTATCATGCACTTTTAAGTATACATGGTTATACACGACTAAGCATTATTCATAAACAGCCATACTTAACCTTGTATGACTGTGTATACTGTGTATACTGTGAGAACTAAAAAGTCGTTCATCAGCCTGTATAAAGTAGTATGGCCTTGCATGGTCATACAAGAATCTTGCTTAATCAAGTCAGATCATGCATAATTTATGCTCGGCAGAGCTTGATCATACATTAAATCATTCAACACAGCGGGTACTCTCTGCATAACTGTAAATACCTTCGAACGGCTATACATGATTCTATCTTGATCAAGCATAACCATTTGGGATCGGCCAGAATAACAGAGCATGAACCTACTTGACTGCATCTGGCTTTTTACGAGCATTGATGATCGGGTTTGGCCAAGTGTAGTCATGCACAACAACTTTTTCCGTTACCTAGGGATACAATACTTATATGAATTCGAATCGAACAATGTTATAAATGTTGTGCTCGGTGATCGATTTGGCAATGATCGATGAAAGGGATAGAGAGAGGATCAGAGGTCTAATGATAGAGGAAAAGACAGAGTCGGATCATCTTCCGGTAATCGTGGAGGTAGAAGCTGCGGGAAAACGAAGGGGTGGCTCAAGGAAAATTCGGGGTAAGGTACAAGGAAGAGGTTGCTGGAACGAGTCAGGTATTAAAAAGTTCCAAAAAGAGATTGGGGAGGGTGAAGTAGCAGGTAGTGAAGTGGAGGATGCCTGGGGAGATCTAAAAAGAAGAATTTAAGGGGCAATAAAAGAATCGGAGAAAGAAGGAGCAAAGAGGGGAGGCGTTTCGGGATAGTGGGACGAATAATGCAGGGATGCGAAAAGCAAGTTGAGGAAAGCTTCAAGTAATTTTAAGGGTGGTAAAGAAGAGAACAGGCGGTACCTAGAGAAAAAGAGGCGTTATAGGAAACTTTGCAAGGATAAAAAAGAGAGGGTCGAAAATGGGAGGAGTGGGTGAAAGGCGTAAAATCTGAAGCCCAAATCTGGAAGGTGGTCGACCAGACTAGAAAAAAGAAGGAAAGTATAAACAAGGACATAGGAATGCTCGACTGAGACACGCATTTTAGGGATATTATGGGAGGGAGGGGGGGGGGGTTTAAGAGAGAGGAGGAAACGGAGGTAGGCGAAGGAACGACAGGACTATCAGAGGAGGATGAGGTTTCTTTTGGGGAAATTAGGGAGGTTGTAAGTAAGTTAAAGATTCGTAAGGCATTATGTGAGGATGGAATCCCAAACGAAGTTTGAAAGTACGGGGCTGAAGGGGTGTTGAGAGATCTTTGGTGGATAATTCAAAGGATAATTACGGTAATGTAGACTGCGTATAAGATCTACGTAGGAATCTTGGAAAGGAAGTTAAAGGCGGAGGTGGAAAGTAAGGGGTAATTACCGGAGTCACAAGCTGGGTTGAGGGCAGTGCGAGGAACCATAGATAATATCTATGCTTTAAATTATCTAATTAACCGGGAAATAGGAAAGGAGAAAGGAAAAATGTTGGCTCTATTCGGAGATTTTAAAGCGGCGTTTGATTCGTTAGACGTGGTGGAGCTGAGTAAGGCACTGATGAGAAGAGGAGTTAGTGAAGGTCTGGTGAGGAGATGCGAGGTAGTGTTAAGGGAAACATGCGGTAAAGTGAGGGTCGGGAAAGAGGTAGCAAAAAGATTCTGGACAATGATAGGGGTGAGGGCTGCCCGCTAAGTCCGCTTCTCTTCATGCTTTTCTTGGCTGATTTGAATGAGGAGCTGGAAAAAGGGAGGTGGGGAAGTGTGGGATTATCGGGCGGAAAGAAGGAACTCTCCTTAGCTTATGCGGATGACGTTGTGTTATTGGCTAAAGAGGAGGATGAAATGAGGAGTATGATAAGGACGCTGGAGAGATTTGTAGAGAAAAATAGGTTAGATGTAAGTGTAGGGAAAATCAAAGTTATGAGGTGTAGAAAAGGGGGTGGCAGGTAGAAAAGGGTGCGGTGGAATTGGAATGGTAGGAACATCGAGGAAGTTAGTAGGGGCGAAGGGGGTTAATCGAACCACGGGGCAATTGAACCACTCGACTTAAAAAATGGACAATATTGAAAAAATGCTTCATGCTCTTAGAATTATATTCTAATATATTGAACTCTGATATGATATAAATTTAAAATCATTATGATTAATAAATTTTGAAAATTTTAGACTTTTATATTTTTAGGTATGTAAACTACTTTTTCGGCTGCTGACAAATTGTTTAATAAAATTTTAATTTTTGAATTAATTAATAAAGTTGAAATTATAGTAGTTGTATATACTTAACGATCCCCAACTTGGTTCATAGTGATATAATAGTTTATTTATTTATTATTTACTTTTAAGTGTCATAAAGTTAAATGGGGTCAGTTGAACCAGCAATCCCGGGGACGATTGAACCGTGGAGAAGCATAGGAGACAAGCTTAAATCATGTATAAACGTTCAAAGCTATGTACAATCCTCCATGATTATCTCCACTGCGTTAAAAGATATCATGTGTGATTACGCTCGACCAAACATAAATGATGCATGTTCAGGTTTCATCAATCACATTTTTTGCTAGTCACATAAGGCCATACCCTTTCATGCAAGTTCTTGAACGACCTTTTAGTCCTTGCAGTGAACAGACGTCCAAGGTCGCATATTTGGCTTTGCATGATCACGCATAGACATATCTGGTCGTGCGCAATGACGCATGCTTCAAGGAATACGATTGAATGTGACCTTACACGATCGTGCATGATCATACTAGATTCATTGGATCATGCCTGATTCATGCATTCTGAATTTTTCTTGGGAGTTTTTGTTATGACTACCTAACTAATATCGTTGTTGTAGTTGTTATTATTTATTTATCGAGAATTTTATAGAAATTCACCTTAAATACTTTGCAAATCAAATTGAAAGCTAGAAGAAATTTTTTGGGCATAATGCTTTTTAATGTGAATGCAAGCTTAATCTATATTTAGCTGTGGGCAGGCTTTCATTTTTAATTTTACTATGAAAATTCTCATTTACTAACTCACATAATTCTATGCTTTAAATTTAAATATCTATTACTGTTTATTTTCTTTCATAGGAAAGACCATCACAGTCGTGCAGTTGCTTCAACAAATAAGGTATGATTTTTAATCAATCATTCATTCAGTTTTTCCTTTCCCACTGAACTAATACTTATAGTTTTATTGCTAGAATTTTCTAATTTTCATATTATCTAAAATTCTCAAAATAGTACTTTTTTCAGTTCTTGTTGTGGCACCACTTTTTATTATTTTCATCTCTTAACTGTGTTCATTTATAAGATTTTCACTGATTTGATTACAGGGGAAATAATATTCCTTTTTATGGCAAGGTCTCAACATTGCGCAAATTATTGCACGATATTGGGTTCAGTCACATAAGAAGGAATAATAATCGCTACTTGGTTGAACAACCCCATATAATCGCTGCTCGGATTGAGTTTCTTGGAAGATATAAGTATTACTTTGACCGCAAAAGGCGCTTTATCTTCCAAGATGAGACGTGGATCTTCCGCAATGGTACTGGAAAAACCTTCGAGTGGCAGGATTCCAGTACCCGAAGCGTCTCGGTAAAAAAAGCTTCGACTGGACCACGATACATTGTTTGTCACGCTGGGGGAAGAGGTGGATTTGTTAATGGAGCCTCTTTGGTAGTAAATACTCAGAAGAAACCCAAAGAATATGATGATTACCACGGGGACATGAATGGGGACATGTTCAAGAAGTGGTTGACTGAGAAATTGCTACCAAACTTAGAGGAGCCATCTGTGATTGTCATGGATAATGCTTCTTATCACTCCACACAGGTAAGTTATTTATTTATTTTTATTTATTTATTTATTTATTTATTATGCCAAGGCTAATTGCCATATGGCAACGTTTAATAATACAATGGGTTTATAAAGTATAGTAGATATATAGTAATAACATAACAATGTGCTGCGAGCACAGTATCTATATTTGATTTTAATAATAATAATAACTTTACCTAAGTTACTTATTCTTATATAGATTTTGTAATCATGTATTTTTCTAAAAGTTTAGGCTTAGCAAATACGTAAGCATTGATACAATGCTGTAATACTGAACAAATGCTGAAATCAACGTGATCTTAATCACAATGGATTTATGTGTTCACTATAAAATCCAGTGTAATATTGCAATAAAATACAATTTTGCAATACTCATCAAAAAACTGTCCATGGAATGGTGAGAATAATGTAATATATTCAATGCGTGTTTGTCTTTTTATACACACTTGTCAATGTATTCTTGTCTTTGAAGATAATTGGGTCGTGCAATTCATATATTACAAAAATTATTCATAAGTATATTATTTATGTAGGCCAGTAAAATAAGAAACTTTTCGGGTCGCATGTAATTGTTGACCGAAGCGGAGCCGAGGTTGACAAACAAGTGATCTGAGACTTTTCTTTTTTTACTGGCCTAGGTATGTAATAGTATATTATTCGTGTTTTTTTTTTTTATTTATTGGGATTGTTAATGCACGAGGAAAACCATTTTTATACACACTCGTCATTGTCTTCTTGACTTTAAAGGTAGTTGGGTCACAGACTTCATGTACAGTCAAACCTGGTTAAGAGAGAGTTCAAGGGACCGTGATTTTTTTCTCGCTTATAGAGGTTTCTCACTAATGCGAGTTTCTAGCTTATAGAGGTACAGGAGAAGTTTGTCTCACTTACAGAGGTTTATCAATAATATTCAAAATATTTAGTTGTAAACATGGTAGAGAATAATTTATTAGAGTGATATACAAAGTAATTATTAGAGTGTGCATTTACAAAGAAAGCAAATAACATGCGAAGTCCGTGTCCCTCGGAGCACTGGGACTTTATTGAACCTTTAAATTTTATAATTTTATAATAGCTTGATTCGGGTAATCCAAATTCACTCCGTATTTACACACACCTTGATTTACCCGATTCAAATGCATTTATAATTTTAAGTTTATCACTTAACGACAACACGTTGATTTTTCGTTTAGGCATTATAAGTTGCTATAAGAGAACTGATCGTTGCAAATGATATTTATCAACTGTAATAAACATGACAAGTAAGTTAATACAGTTAAATATTATTTTTTCGAACCATAAGAAAACAAAAACACACAAAGTTCCTGAAAAAAAAGTTAAATTGTCGCTTATAGAGGTACATGCAAAAGAGGCTCTCAGTTATAGAGGTCAGAGTGGGAAAAACGACTGTCGCTTATGCAGGTTTTTGTTTCTCACTTATAGAGGTTTTTGAGAGGTCAAAGTACGGGACCTGAGAATTATTCTCACTTATAGAGTTTTCTCGCTTACCCAGTTCTCTCTTACTCAGGTTTGACTGTATTACCAAAGTTATGCCTTAGTATATTACTTTTGGTTACTAATATGATCAAAAATATTATACTCATCATCAAGAAAACTAGGATATACCCTTGAATACAAAAATCACTAATTGTTTTAATTTTTACCTAACGGAACTATTATTACGGTTGTTAGTTAACAACTACTTACATAATTAACAACCCTGATTAAAAAAAAGCCTTGAGACTAAGAAAGTTTTCAAAAGTATTGGTTTTCTAGTCAATTCAATACTTTTCAATATTTTTTTCTTTGTCTCAATACTTTTTTTTATTCAGGGAACTTTGTTTTTGATTTTTCTTACACAAACCTTATATACTTACTGCATCATTGGTTTCTTTTGTTTGGTTTATTGTTCGTTCTATTGTTTATAGCTTATGTAAATACTTAAGTTATTAATTAAGTTTACTTTTTCAGTCGGAAAAACAACCCACAAGTGCGTGGAAGAAACCGGCGCTCATCAATTGGTTGACGGAAAATAAAATTCCTCACGACGCCAGATCTACAGTTAAAGATCTATACGCGTTGTGTCAGAGTTATAAAAAGCCAATTAGCCATGAAATCACTGAAATAATCCATAAAAGTGGCCATGAAGTCCTCAAAACACCTCCATACTGCTATTTCTATAACCCAATCGAACTCGTTTGGGGCTTTTGTAAGCGTTATTATGATGCTCATGTGGCACCAGACTGCGATTACAGTGAGAAGAAAGCTATGCAAATATGGGAAGAAGCCTTATCTCAAGTCACTCCCGAACGGTGGAATCGATACGTCGATCATACTGAGAAAAAACTGTTTGAAGATTATAAGCGCTTCTATGAAGAAAAATTCACGGTTGAAATTGAAGATAACCCTGGTTTGGCAAATAACAGCGATAGCGATTATAATGATGATGATGATGACGATGATATGGTCACTGTTGACGGTGAATCGGAGATTGGTACGGATGTTTCTGATGATAGAAGTCATTTGGATGCTGCCAGAAAAAGACTTGAGACTTGCATCGAAAATAACCAGGTAATGAAGTTTTTAATTTTAATTTCGAAAAAATTTGTAAAGTAGGCTATCTGATTTGTCATTCCTGCAACTTCCCGCAAATTTCAAATGCAAGGCGCTCAAAATTTTACATATAATGGCGTTTTTGAGCCTTTAAAACTCCATGATTGAACTGTTGTACGCTTTTGAGCTCTTCGAGCGAAAAACTCTAGTTTGTATTCAGTAGATTTTGCATAGTGAAGAGAGCTTAATTCTCAGGAATAAATTTTATCTGACTAAGAATTGAAAAATTTATTTAAAAAAATTAGAAAAACGGTTCACCCTAAAGGCCATCCGTGCAACTTCCCGCTAATTCAATTCCTGATGGGCGCTTAAAATTGTACTTATGATATTTTTGAGATTTTTGAGCTCAAAATATAATTTATATGATATTTTGAGCTCGCTGAGTTCAAAGAAATATTATTTCTATGCATTTGAGCTGTCCCAGCTCAAAAGTCTGATAGAAGTTTCATAGAACACTATTTTTGGAATTTTCAAACCGCAATAACTTTTGAGTGGATCTACCAATTTTCACGTGGTTGACGTTATTCGACGCAGTTTTATCATCCTCATAAGTTATTTTCAGGTTTTAATTGATCGAACCCTAAAATTTCGGGGTAATCCCGAAAAAAAACTTTTTTCAGTTTTCTTTCGTTCACGATATCTCTCGAACGAATCAACCGATTTTGACCAGCTTGGTGGCAATCGACGTGGTTTCAGAATGTTAAGAGCTTATAAGTTTTTGGAATCGATCGGTAGAGCTCCAATCGATCGGTAGAGCACCAATAACGATCCGAAAAGAAATATCGCAGTTATGTGAGAAAACTACTTTTTTCGGTTTTTTTCCTGAAACTGCCTTTTAAATTTGAAGTTCTAATGTCGTTAATACCTGGCCGCTTTTTTGAGCTCTTCGAGCTCGAAAGTACAATCTGAGTATTGTTTTGAGCTCTCTGCGCTCAAAAAGATATCTTTTCTATGTTTTTGAGCTCATTGAGCTCAAAACTTTGATAGAAGTTTCATAGAGCACTATTTTTTGAATTTTCAAACCGCAATAACTTTTGAATGAATGAACTTGACGATTACACGTCCTCGGGTGCATCTCTAAATATTTTACTACAAGCCATGTTATATTTTTTGAAGAAATAACTTTTCCTTGTTCAGAGGCTAATTTAAGTGACAAAAACTTTCGACTATTAAATCTAATAAAATTAGTTTTCTTGAGGATGTCTTTACAAAATTTCTATGATTGTCTATTCCAGCGATAACATGCAAGCTATATTCACCACCACCCCAGGTATAGACCCTTAGCACTCACAATGGTCTGCAGCTGTATACTCCATACAGAAAAACTGTGTACCCACATAGTAATCCAACTATGTACACCTCAAGCCCCCGCCACATTGTCAAACACATATGACACATGTAGTGCAGCTTAAAACCATCTCTGGCCCCCGCCATCTCACCAGCTGGCCTTCGCGCCCTGACAATCTTGATAAACAAGATTGATTCAAACTACTCCGAGTTTGCAGTTGCGACTACAGACTGGCGCAAGTAGTGCGGCCAACAACTTCATCTTTGACCCCCGCCACTTCACCAGCTGGTCTTCGCGCCCTGACAATTTTGACAAGCAAAATTGATTCAAACTACCCCGAGTTTTGCAGTTGCGACTACAGACTGGCGCAAGTAGTGCGGCCAATATACTTCTTTGGTCCCGCCACTTCACCAACTGGCCTATCGTACCCTAGCTAAATCACTCTAGATTTGCTTGTACGACCTACAGCTTGGAGCAAGTGGTGCGACCTCCAGAAAAATCTTTTCTTATTGCCACCACATCATCAACCGCCCATCATACTCTGGCCAAACCAACCTTGATTTCCCATTATGACCTACAACCTGATGCAAGTGGTGCAACTTTCAACAATTACCATTAGTGCCTAGTCTTCACCCGGTGGTTTCTGACTCTGTCTCAGAGTCCTTCTGAGAAACTTCATGCTCATCTAATAAATCTAATTCAATAGGAATATGGAATTCAGGCATTTATCTAAAGTTTTTATGACAATATTCATAGGTTCTATTACCCGTTAAAGACTTTAAAGTATAACGATTACCACCGAGAATTTCAATCACCACAAATGGACCTCTGAACTTCGGATTAAGCTTTGTCTGGTTTCTTTCTTCATTTTTAGTTAATACAAAACCTACTTTGAATGGAACTATCTTTGATTTATTCTTATCAAATCTAAACTTATCATATTTTGCATTAACTTCTATGTTATCAATCGCTTTTTGTCGTAAGTCAGAGATATCAATTTCTTTATCGTCTTGACCAACTATCACACCGAAATAATTTTCATCGAGACAACTAGGATTAAATATTGTTTATGAATGTTCATTTAATTAAGTGGATTTTATCTCAATATCAATATACAAATAACATTGATAACTTTAAATAATTCTTACTTGTAAGTGGTATTTTTTTTGGTCTTTCTAGATCTGAAATTTTTCCCCGAATATATTCCACATAGTCGTCAATTTTTTTATTAATATGTTTTTCTGACAATTGCCTGTGTTCCTTTAGATAATGTCTGTAAATACCTGTAAAAAAATTTAATTACCCTCAACAAAATTAATTTTTTAATTAAAAATAAAATTAATTTACCTCTAACAGCAAGCATTTTGATAGGATCTAGTTTTGGTTTGGCAGGTCCTTTGGTTCTGTTGCTTCTTTTACCTGTTATACTACTAGTCTTTAATACGTCTCGAGTAAATATATTTACTGCTATATTTTTTACAAAAATAGCATCAGTCCCAGCTGCAGCTTTTGCATTATTATAATCTTGAACAGTAATCCAGATATTTTGACCGCAATGAATCTACAAATATTTCGATTACAGCAATTAATAAAAAGTATAAGAGACAAGCTGTTAATTGCAAGCTGTACTCTAGTGGTTAGATCTTTTCTCTTGAATTTATTGTTGAATCAGATGTTTGATAGAGCATTTTTCCGACTTGGGTCAATTAATTTTTTTGCGCATTTTTATTTTCATCGCAGCATATATTTTCATGTATCGAGTAATTGAAAAATAATTATTAGAAGTAAATAAACACTCAAAGTTAACACTTGAAAAAAATTTCTATAGAATATTTAATCGCTGCTCATTTATCAAATTATAAGTCTCTTTTAAAGTTTGATAAGTAAACTTGAGATAGCTTTTCATGCAATCGACAAAAAAAAATTGAAAAATAAATATTATTTATGATACTTTTCATCAGTAAACGCAACGATTCAATTTTTTCTACAGTAACATAAAAATTAATGTTTCTTAATAAATTCTTAACCTATAATCAAATAATTAGATTCAAATTTTTTAGTTTAAATAAAAATTTACCATTTCGGTGTCTGTCCGTATAAAACCAACTGGCGGAGGCACTTTTATATTTTCGAAATCTATTGCTTGAACTGCTGTCGGTACTGTTACGCGTGTACCTGAAAATAATCATAGATATGAATTAATCCATATCAGTTCTAAATAAAGTATGCATTATTGTCGATCGCAAAATGTAAATTGATTCATGTTACATGAAATGTCGATTTTTCCTTTCAAATCGTATTAGTTATGTTGGCTAACAAGTGATATTTAAAGATTCAATGATGGTGCGAAGGTATTATTAAGAGAAATTATACATAAGCTAGTATATATAACGTATATTTTAACTTGAAGAAAGTACGAACTATTTCGATGTATTACTTGCAGAAATAATCTCAAAAAAATTACGAGAATAGAATCTATGACAGTTTACGAATATTGGTCTGTGTTATTTTAGTTTTATTACTTATATTAAATTGTAGAGTTTTTTAACCGATTTTTGCACGAGCTTCTTGTATTACTGATATAGTAATAATGAATTTAAATGGAAATGGAATTTATAATACATATAATATTACTTTGAATCTGCTGCCAATTTGACAAAATTGTCTGCAAAGCTGCGGTGACTACTTGCTGAAAAGCCTCTTGAATTTTTTTAATGTCATTTATTTCCTGTCTTACTTTGTCCATAACGCCATTTTCCGATTCATTTCTTTGATTTTTGATTTTACTCTTCTGTAAGACAGTAAAGTATGTTATATTAAAGCGAAATAAATTATTAATATTTGAAAAACTGATTCATTTGATTTTAATAGTTTTATTACTTTAATTACGCACCTTCGAACTTTTGCTACGTTTCGACTTTTTATCTGAAAGCTTACTTTTTTTTTTCTTCTTCAAAGACTCATTCACAAGCTGATGAAAAGAACGAAAAGGTTCACAGGAAATCTGTAAGTAATATGGTAAATAAAAAATTCGAAAGAAATACACTGGCTTTTACATAAATAAAATGATAAAATAACTATATTATTCGCTTTGTTAGAATTCATTTGTTATACAGTCTTTGAATGATAGGTAACAATTTATTAGCGTTTGATTATTTAAGCTTAATATTTTATAATAAATTATTTAGTTAAATAGAGTTCTAAAATTCACAGTTTGATTTCTATTAGTTATGAGAAAGCTTCAAATTTTCATAACTGATGGAACAGTTAAAAACTGAAAAATTGATGATGTGATTTCCAATTAACAGCTTCATTAGTTATATTGTATTTTCGCATACCAAAGGGGAAAAATATCACAAAAAAGCCGGCAACAATTTTTACCATTTTTTTGAGTAGCTAGTAAAACGGTAAAAATTCAAATTTTTATTTAATTATTGTAAAAAATTTTTATGTTTTATTGAAGTTCGTTTCATATATTTCACATTTGCAAGATATAAAAGAAGTTAAGCACTCGAAAGAATAATAAAATATTTTGAATACTTTATAGTTACTACACTGAAAAAAAATTTACTTGATTCAAGAGAAAAATTCTTGAACCAAGAATATAATTTTGAAGAGGGTAATTGTCTTGAATCAACACAAAAAATTCTTTAATCAAGTAAAATTTCTTTAACTCAAGAAAAATTTCCTTAAATCAAAAATTTTGTCTACTCAAATCAAGAATATTCAGTTCTTCAAAATTATATACTTCGTTCAAGAACATTTTTTTTTGTGTACTTATGTACGATATCCACTTATTTTTTTATCGATAAAATATGAAGCTTAATATATTCTCTACACTTGAAAAATATTAATTTTTATTAAAAGTTATTACGTTATTATCATATTATCATGATAAATTAATCATTGTATACATACGTCATCTTGCTCAGCGGCACTTTCTTCCAAGACAGTTTTTGTTGATCCACTTTCGAGAGAAGTATTGTTGGCATTCAGGGTAGTTGCGGTCGAGTCTTCAATCAAGGTAATTTGCTCAAGAAATTCGGGAGTTTCAGTAATTTTTGATACCGTTGGATTAACTTCTTGAGATCCACTTATTTTTGTCTGAAAATATGTTAAGATAATAGATAAATGTTAAGAAAATATGTTAAGATTTTATCTTAAAATTTGAAAATTTGCATTAAGCACAAATAATGCAAATTCTATCAAATATTGATAAAATTTTTCATCCTTTTTTATTTCGACAGGCCAACATTATTATTTTTAATTTATTTCCTAATTTTCGTCAACTTAGAGGCGTTTTTAAACTCAAAGATTTGATTAATAAGAATCTAATGTTTTTTAAGAAAAAAAAGTCTTATGTTGAACGAATTGAAGGACATTTCAAAGTTCGACTAACAACTCGTAAAATTGTGAAAATGAATGGAATGGCAAAATTTCATAGAATTTAAAGCTTAATAAAGAATTTTTTATTAAAATCGCAATTTGAGTAATGTAAATGAAAAAAGTAATGTAAATTAAAACTTATTACAAGTGCTTTCGGAAAAACTTCACAGAAATTTATGTATGTATACAAATTTCAGTTACGTTTTCAGGGTTTTCAGTTATCTATAAATACATACATAAGTAAATTTTTGAACTTATGGTATTTCTTAAATTCACATGCCAGATTTACTTGAGAAGTAACAAAATCCGTAAAAAGTTCCGCGTTAAAGATAATTTTAATAGTTACATTTCTATGAAATTCAGAAGACAAAAACCGCTACGGTTTAATGAATATCACTAATACTCTTAAAATTTTTATAGTACAATATCAACATATTGTTTACCTAAATCATAACAATTTCTGAGATTTTAGCATAATTTTTTAGATAGAGAAAAGTGTTCCGCTCACGGATATTTCAATTTAAAATAATTTTTTATCATATTACCCGAGATAGTTGGTCATTGTCATGTTCCTCTGAAATCATTTCTTTTTGTTTATTTCCCTCGACTATATCTTGATTTGGAAGTCCATCTGGAAGAATATCATGTGCGTCGCTTTTTGTTACTGTAATAGATTTATTGTCTTTCTTAACTTGTAATTTTACTGCTCCTGTTGATTTCATAGATCCATTCTAGAAATATTTATAGATTGATATTAGATACTTTAAACATTTTCAAAATTGTCTGATATGAGCTATTTTTAATTATACTGACATTTTGCACCTGTCTACTGCCACCATCATGACTTAAATAGCTTGTTGCTTCTTCTATGATAGAGTTTCTCTGTTTTTTAGAATCTGTCGATTTCTGAAAAAGAAAAAAAAGTATATATCTATACAGTCACTCACTTCGATAAATACTTTATTATAATTTTCAGTGATAGATCAATTTTTATACTACGTATGAGAAAAGTACAAAAAAATTTTTTTTTCCCGCATCTGCAATAGATAACTTATTACTGTAATAAATTTACTCTATTTCAGTTAGCAGTTTACTCTATATCAGTGAGCATCGTTTAAGAGCTGATCTTAGAAATTTTGTATTTTTGCCTTCAATTACATTCGTTTTAAATTATTTAATTCTGATCTTTGAATGTATTTAATTATTATTATTAAAAATAAATAATATTATAATTTATAATTTAGTTTTAAATTTTTACCTTCATCCCTTTAGATTTTTTGTCTTTACGATTCTTACGAGATTTTTTGTTGGGCATAGTTTCCATCAATGATTCCGGCTCACGCTTCCTTTTCTGTAAAATAGTATGAATTATCGCCGACTATTTGAACGGAATTTAGATATTGTAAACAAAATTTTTTACATATACAATAAAAAAAAACACTTCATATATGTGAGATGCAAGATATGTCTAATAAATTTTATAAGCAAGAATATTTAAATTTTGATCTCATAATAAATAACAAAAGCGAAATTTTTAATTTATATAGAAAAATGAAACAATCTACAGTAAAATGGATGCAACTCACTTTGACTTCCTTCGACTTTTTTTCAATCTTCATTGAAAGTAGGTCCGATTTTTCTGGATGTAGTGTTTTTGGAGGAGTAGTCACTTCTTTCAGAACATTTTCATGATCTTCTTTACTATGATTTAATATGAATTTTGAATTTTCTTTATCATTCCTGTCATGAACTTTGGTTGCCAAATTGTCATGAACTTCTTTCTCATTGCTAATAGCCTGTTAGTATTGAAATATTCAAATTTTGTTTATTCAATTAATAAATTTTATCTAAACGTGTTGTATTGCTAAAATTTTTATATTCATTAAAATATGATTTAATATACACAGTTTAATTTTGAGAAACTTTTTTGACATACTTTCTAATTAAGCAATATTAACAATGAAAGTAAAATTACAGTAATAGTCAATGCTATAAAGTAAGTTACAGATAGTGAGTTCATAGAAATTTATAAGTTATACTGCTCTGCTTTAACATTACTTAAATATTTATTTGGTATTAATTGGTTCAACCATTTCTGTTATTATAATAAACTAGTTTTTGTGCGAAAAATGTAATGAGATAATGTATGTATTTTCAGAATTTTTTAGCATAATTTTAATAGAGAAAAATGACTAATAATTACATGAAAGAAGATTACTATAACACTTAATATTAATATAATACAATGAATAATTATGTCCCCAAATTTTTAGGGAAGAAGCAAATGTAATCATTTTCACCAGTTGAAAAAAAAATAACTTTTGTTCGTATACTTTGAATACTGGCGATCAAAATTTCTTGTCTTATGCTTGTTACTTGTAAGATATGAGATAATTGAACATTTGATTGGAAAGCTGTTTGAACAGTTAATATTTGATTGCCATAAAGATAACACGTATTATTTAAAGAGAAAAAACCATCAATCCGAATAAATTTTTTTGTATCTAACTGAACTACAGTATCGTTTGTTTTTGTAGGACGTGTATAAGCTGTGCTGCGAAGCACCATTTTATTATAAATACATCGATCATAAACTTTAGTTGAATGAGTATTGTCAAAATATTGTTGCATCAATAGAATCAATTGATCGTCCGGTGATTTCTCAGTGCCAATCAGTAAAGCATGATCATCACTTCGTGTACAGTTCTTCAGTTTTCGTGGCTTAAACAAATCCTTACAATAATTACGGCATTTCACAGATTCAGTATTATAATCAATGTTGCATCGAATATTTTTCTCTTTCAATATAGAATTAACTATTTGATTTGAGACACCACTAACTCCTGTTATGTAACGTTTAATAAGGAAAATCATGCTTTCAAAAGGAAAAGCAGAACTTGACCACAATGGTCCACTTTGCCTAACTGATTCTACAACATGCAACAATGAGTGTAAGTTAAATGTCATCGAGTTAACACCGTAAATTAGTTGACAATCACGTACAAACTGAAGTATATTTATTTCACATAGTAAAAGATCTTCTTCACTTATATTGTCTGTCATCAACGTATATATACTTGAAACTAATAGGAGGTACGACTGAAAACATTTTTCATCGAGAATACCCACTAGACACGGTACACTATCAAATAATAGCCACGATTCCCATTCTGAAGCTTTCCATTTTGCTGTTTGATCTACTGTTCTCACAAGTCTATGAATTTCTTGAGGTCTTTTAATGTGTAATTGACGAGCCATGATCTTTTTTCGTTGTTGAGGATTTAAATAATATGGAGTTCCTGGTTTAATCCACAATGCCCATAAATGTCGCGATACACCTAATAAAATGCCGTGCATGTAATCTAAAGGAAAACCCCACACGCAGTCAAAATGTTTCAATTCTAGCATTGCACAATTATCTTTGACGCCGTTTATTGACTTTCCCAATTTTTCCACTTGTTCTACATCTTTGATATGACTTTGATTTGTTCGCAACAATGGAACTTGTTGAGTGATAGGGTATCTCATAGCAGAACTATCGTAAACTCCAGTCGCATAACACCAACTACAACCTGAATATCCGTTGAACTGGAAACGGTTTTGGATAACTGGTCTAGCAACCGAATCTACGCATAATAAAAGACAGAAAAATTTTAAATTTCTTATTCGATCCTCATTATCAGTTATATTTATACCAGCTTCCATTATATTATTTGCTTTTTCAAGAAATTTTGACATGTAAGTTTGCATAAATTCGGGAGATGGCTCAGCCGATGTAATGTATAAACCACCAATAAGAACGTTACGAAACCGCAATGTTGGTGATAATTCATTTATATGAAGTTGTATTAGCCACATACTTCGTTTGGAGCTTTTTGTAAGTGGTGCGCCGTCTGTGTTGACGTTGTAAGTCAATGCGCCTGGTGAAAGTTTTTGTACAGCTTTATACAGTTGGCCGTCATATATATCATGTATAACTCCATCATTTCGCGGTTGTCTCAATTTTTCCATTGTATTTAATAAATCATTCTTTACTTCCGTATCTCTGAATAATAATTTCAATTGATATTTCAAATCAATAATGATAAATTGATTTTTACTCGCAGATGATAGTTTATACTTTGCTTTACAGTCAGAACATTGAACTTTTATTTTTTTGTCCTTATCCGATAGTTTCCTTGTATGTAAAATGCGTTGACATTTTTCTGTCTGGCAATAAAAATTTGATTGAATTTTCTTTCTTGGAGGATTATATGCTTTCGACCGTGAATAATGGGAAGCATTCCAAGATTCAAATGCTGGACCAGCTAAAACTTTTATTAAATTAATTAAGTCATCTTGGTCATTTCTTGTCAAATGTTTAGATACTGAAAATGTCGTAACCATTAGCAATACATCTGAGACAGTACTACTTGACTGTGGAAACATGATTGTAGAACCATTCATTTTATCACAGTTAAAACGAAATGAGTCATCGGTCGATGAATTGTCCGAATCCGACTCGGTAGTTTGCTCATATTCTGAAACTTGCTCTGAATCTACTTCACTTTCACTATCAGAAGTTTCTTCATTATCTGAGTCACTGTCGCTATTAGAAGTTACTTCACTATCTGAGTCGCTGTCGCTATCAGAATACGGCTTATCATTTGAGAAGTTACTTTCAGAACTTAGTTTATCATCTAAAGTATTGCCGTTTTCTAAATATCTTGATGATACGTCACATTGATTGTGAGTAGATTGTTGTTGATGAGGATCCGAACAATCTATCAGAGTTTCTATAGAAATACAATGCGAGTCTACTAAGCTAGTACTGAAGTCCATGGTGGAATTTTCTTCCACAGGATGTTGGTGTTGTTCTAATGACACTACAGAAGTAGAGCTAATGGATGACTGAAGCAATTTTGTCGTATTAGAAACTAATGGCTCAGTTATTGGAAAATCTGTATTAGCATCAAATATGTTTTGAGGACTGTTTACTGTAAATTGATCAAAGAGAACTTAGGTTTTACCATTTCAAAAAAATAATGAATATAGATTTTTTTTTCCAGAATATTCTGGAATATTCTGGCATATGCATGTATACGTTACCTCCTGAGAATAAATTTTTTTGATACAGCTGTTTTATTTTATTTTTATGTCGGGATCGAGTTGCTCTACTAACTTTATAAGGATTATAATTTTTAAATAAATATTGTTTATTTATCCGTCGGCTCTTTTGATGTTTCATCTCTATCGATAATGAAGAATCGAACTGCATTTATAAAGATTGATTAAATGTGAAATCTTGAATAATTATGCTTAAAAAATTAGAGATAGTAAGAAAACGGTAATTTTCAAAAGTAGCTTTACTATCGGCGAGTTAATTCAGAAGTTAAAAAATTAAAAAATACATTTTTTAATTTTATTGATTCATACGATACTATTGAAATAAATTGAATCGCTAAACTGTAGTTCAAAGTATCAATTTATGAGCATATTACCAATATAATAATAATATATTATTTTCTCAAAATATAATAGTCCAAGACTAATTATAACTAATGATGATACATACATAATAAACGAAAAACAAGTATAAAAAAGTCATTTCAATAACTGATCTCTTTTACTAATCTATTTTGTAAAAAATTAAAATTGAAAACCGCGTAAAAGACACCTAAAAATCAAATGAAAGAAAAGAAGAAATAAGAATATAAGTTCGTAAGAGTTATTTTATCAAATACTTTACTTTTAATTCCAAAATTAACATTATATTTCAATGCTAACCTATGACTAATTTTTTTTTTTTTAAATACTATAGTAATGTATAGAAAAATTTCTTCAATTGAAAGATTTGAATTTCAAATCTACAATAAGTGACAAGTTTTTTAGTGTTAATATTATCGGAAACTGATTATTGATTCCTTGTTATTGGGGATTGAAGCACGCTAATGTAGTGCATGATTAAAATTTATAGTTTTATAGTTCTAATTTAAATGACAGTTTTTTTATGATAGACAATTCCAATAGCTAGGTTTATTTAATAATTTTTATTAAAGATTTATGAAAATCTAAGAATTAATTTAAAATAATAATGCCTTAAAAAAACTTACCGCCAATTTAGCCTTCAACTGTTCTAATTGTTGGTTGACAACAGGATTTATGTCAACATTTGAAGTTTTTTTATTTTTTGCACTGCTTTCATCAAGTTCAGTCTCACTTAATTCAGTGGCTGTTTCTTGATTGCGAGGGGGTGGAACTGTGATTCTTTTTGATTTTATTTGTTTTTCAAGTACATCAATTATATCTGAGAAAATAATAAATATTATAAGCACATCCATCACATTACACGATAGAAAATATCATACATTATGCCAAATTATAAAGATAACAGTGGTAATAAGAACCACATTACAAAATATTTTAATTTCTTTGAGTGGATAATAGTGTAAAATACTGTTATGCATTCGTACAGACAAATTAACTAAGTTTGAAAAAAAAATCCTTTGAAACTTTACATTTCTACAGTTATTAAAATCATTTGGTTTCATTTATATTAAAATTAGGACAAATTTTGTTTATAATTTTGAAGTGTTCAATACATTTTCTTAAGAGTTTAAAAGGGACACATTAAATTCGATAGAATACGTACCTTCAACGAATAGCAGCAAAGCTTTTTTTGGTGGTTGATTTTCATATAAGATATAGTGTTGTTTGTTTCTATTTACAGGTAGCTTTAATTGATCATAATTTTTTACCCATGTAAATGGTATAGTATCATATTTGTCTTCATCTACTAACTTGATATAAGCAAATATGGTGATTATCCGTAGGTCACTAGAATATGATAAATAGATTTAATTAAGTACATAGTACATACTTTTCTAAAATCAGAGCGTGCATACTAAATTGGATATCTATATTTATCAAATTTATTCTAATCCAACATCAAACAAATACCTAAAGTAAGTAGATACTAGTTTTGTTAACGGTGTATGTCACGTCTTTTAAATCTTTTTACGTCTCTGAACAAAAAATCCGGCTTCGTAACCCTACTTTTATTAATAAAAACAATTGATGAAAGTTCCTATGTTTATAATTGTTAATAATTGCCGAGTATTGAATTGTATCTCTGAGATTTCAAATTTATTAAATTCCAGGAGACTAAAATTCAACTGTTGAGATATGTAAATAAAGTTCAATTAATACAAAAATGTTTAAAACAAGAATCCCTTAGAAAATGAATTTTGTATTTTGCACTTTAAATCGTAAGTGATTTGAAAATAAAGTATAGAAATGTTACTTTAAAACAAGTAAATGTAATCGATAAAGCAAATAATAGAGTTAGTCAAATTTTGTATACCAGCTACAATCATAGATTGTTCGAGCACATGTTAATTTATTCAACAATCAAAAATAAAAAAAAAATCCTTTTAAGCTTTATTACAAATCTAAATGATTTTTTTCTATTTTTAACAATAAATCGACAAAACCAAGATTGAAGTTGATTTTATAGGCACGATTAAAAAATACACTAAAGTTATAGTAATTAGTCGATCGCAGAAAGATTATATAGTATGGAGAAAAGCAGATAAAAAAGTTTAACACATAGCTAACAATATATTTATGAAATCTATTGGATTCTACTTATAAAACAGAAGTTTCCAATGTAATTCTATCAATTACGACACTGATTCAAAAACATTTATGTATCGTGTCTCGTAATATCAAGCAATATTTGAAAAGTTGTCAATCAGCAAATAATGCAAATACTGAAATACAATCATATCAATTACGGCACTTGTTCGAACCAATTTATTATGACGATTATAATTTTTTTTATAAAATCTCATAACACTTTAGTAAATAATTAAATTTTAAACTCAATATTTAATCAAATAATCTCTCAAATATTGAAACACATTTTAAAAATTACTTGGTAATTTTTTACAAAGCAAGTTAAAATTATAAATTTTATTGTTATTAAAAAAAATAAACACTGTACTGTCTACTGTTTTAAAACACTCATAATGTCAAGCAATATTTGAAAAGTTGTCAATCAGCAAACAGTGCAATACTAGAATTTAGAAATAAAAAACAAAACTTTTTTAATTCAACGCATTAGATATTAATAGTTAAGCTGGAAATCCACATAAAATCTTTTATAACCTAATAGTTATCAATCGTTTAATGAGAAAATTTTAACATACAATTGCTAACTTTTCAATAGTACCTACTAGATTCTACCTGTTAAACTGAAAATACTAATACAATCATATTATGCACGGCACTTGTTCGAATTAATATATCACTACATTAACAAACTTTATTTTAAAATTGCAATACTATTAAGTAATGTTATTATTACGTTAATCATAAGCAAATGAAACAAAAACTCTGTTAAATATTCACGCACATTGAAACAGTTATTCGGTAATTTTTACAACACATAAAAATTAAAACATATTTTCATTGTTCAAAAAATAATTATTCTTCCAAAACTTAATAATAATATTCAGTACTTACGTGTATGTTGGTGATAATGGATTACTTGAAATTATATTAAATATTTAATTATTTAAATAATTTTTTAATTTATCAATTTAACACCGCGGTTAATTCACTATGAACGGGTAAGAAATAACTGAAACGACAGCCAACGTAACTACCGGCTTCTACAGCACTTTGGCGGGCTTTAGTTATGTACCGCCGAATCTCGTTAAGAGTTCGATCTCTTGGCCAATGAAGAGTATAGAGACGTGTGGAGGGAGTATGGGAAACTTCTATCTACGGACTTGTAATGAGCGATCTTATAACGCGACTCGACTGTCTACGATAGAACTCTTATACTTTCAAACACTTCAGATTCGACTTCCCCTACTTTTCAGTGGAAGCTTTTTCTCCATCTCGTACCCCTTTATTCTACTAGGTGAGTGAGAAAGACAACTCTTACTCTTCTTTATTATTAAAAATACTCAAGATTGTGGTGTTTATTTTGTTTGTAAGAAATAATTATTTTATTAAAGTTGTATAATTTTAAAAAACTATTACAATTACATAAATTCATACTTAATAAAAAAATGAGAAATTAAATATTATTTTCTCTTAAGAAATCCAAATGTTGTCAGTCATTCTTCTTATTTCAAATTATAAAATTATTAAACACGTAATTTCTTTTAGCTTATAGTTACTTTAAAGTAACGATTATTTTTTATTTTTTAAAGCAATTTCAGAGTATATCTAATTATTTTTTGTGTCTAAAATATCTATCAAAAAAATAATTAATATCCCTGAATAAAAAAAAGTATTGAGACAAAGAAAAAATTATTGAAAAGTATTGGATTGACTAGAAAACCAATACTTTTCAATACTTTTTTCTTTGTCTGAATACTTTTTTTTATCAGGGATAATAAAGATTGTTAATAATTTTTTTTTAATGAGATTTATTTGATTGTAGGGTTAAAACAGTAAATTCGTATACGATCCTTTTAATCATAAAAATTAGTAACTGCAAATGAGACATTTTGGATTTTACAGGTGAAACTGAAATTAAATTTGTTTAAACTTAAAAAACTGAAATAAATAATTGACTTGCATTTTGTAATGAATATCTGACTCAATCGGTACTCAAAAAAATATGTATGTGTATCAGAGTACACAGGTAAGAAGTAAAACTTCTTTATGACACATCATTTTTCTACTATTTATAACTTCATAGAAATTGGGTAGATAAAGCTTAAGAAAAAAAAATTTTTCCATATTAAATTAAAGATATTTCAATATTATAATAACCATGCATACAGATAATAAGAGTAATTCATTTTATCATTGCACTTATGATAATTATTGTATTTCATCGCATTATAATTAACATTGTTGTCATTATTTAGACTATGCCATTATTTAATCTAAAAATTATTTAATCAGTTTATAAAAATTATATAAAAAACATTAATATTCAAATCTTATGTCATAACATAGTAAAAATAATTAAAAGCAGATATTTAATAACTTACACACAGTTTGATTTTTAAATTATTATTTAATTTGTTGTTTTAATTGTTTTTAGAATTAATAATAATTACTAAATTAATTCTTTACGTCGCTATACGAAGCTTCGATAGAAACAAACAACATGGCGCGTAACCGAAAATCGTGACGATTTTTTATATATTGCTATAAAATTTCTCTCATACGTCGATAAAGAAGTTTTCACGCATAGTGCTATGGTGTGTGAGGTGGGAGAGAGCTATAGTGAGAAAGATTGAACAAGAGAGAGAGAGAGAATACGGGATATCGAGAAAGAATATACGCCCTATTGGTTGTGTATTCGTTTACTAGTTAATTATTATACTAATAATTGTTTCTTTATTATTGAAGTAAAACTTCTTTATCGACGTATGAGAGAAATTTTATAGCAATATAAAAAAAATCGTCACGATTTTCGGTTACGCGCCATGTTGTTTGTTTCTATCGAAGCTTCGTATAGCGACGTAAAGAATTAATTTAGTAATTATTATTAATTCTAAAAACAATTAAAACAACAAATTAAATAATAATTTAAAAATCAAACAGTGTGTAAGTTATTAAATATCTGCTTTTAATTATTTTTACTATGTTATGACATAAGATTTGAATATTAATGTTTTTTATATAATTTTTATAAACTGATTAAATAATTTTTAGATTAAATAATGGCATAGTCTAAATAATGACAACAATGTTAATTATAATGCGATGAAATACAATAATTATCATAAGTGCAATGATAAAATGAATTACTCTTATTATCTGTATGCATGGTTATTATAATATTGAAATATCTTTAATTTAATATGGAAAAATTTTTTTTTCTTAAGCTTTATCTACCCAATTTCTATGAAGTTATAAATAGTAGAAAAATGATGTGTCATAAAGAAGTTTTACTTCTTACCTGTGTACTCTGATACACATACATATTTTTTTGAGTACCGATTGAGTCAGATATTCATTACAAAATGCAAGTCAATTATTTATTTCAGTTTTTTAAGTTTAAACAAATTTAATTTCAGTTTCACCTGTAAAATCCAAAATGTCTCATTTGCAGTTACTAATTTTTATGATTAAAAGGATCGTATACGAATTTACTGTTTTAACCCTACAATCAAATAAATCTCATTAAAAAAAAATTATTAACAATCTTTATTATCCCTGATAAAAAAAAAAGTATTCAGACAAAGAAAAAAGTATTGAAAAGTATTGGTTTTCTAGTCAATCCAATACTTTTCAATAATTTTTTCTTTGTCTCAATACTTTTTTTTTATCAGGGATAATAAAGATTGTTAATAATTTTTTTTTAATGAGATTTATTTGATTGTAGGGTTAAAACAGTAAATTCGTATACGATCCTTTTAATCATAAAAATTAGTAACTGCAAATGAGACATTTTGGATTTTACAGGTGAAACTGAAATTAAATTTGTTTAAACTTAAAAAACTGAAATAAATAATTGACTTGCATTTTGTAATGAATATCTGACTCAATCGGTACTCAAAAAAAAATTTCTGATAAAAATTGTTTCTTATTATGTGAAGATTTATATGGGTGTATAACATATAGAAAATCAAAGAAATATTGTCGTGATATCCTATGGGAATTCATCTTTACCATGAAGGAATTCCTCATACCGGCTTATATGAATATCAAAACAATATGCTCTTGGTAATTCATACAAAAAAAAACTACAATTGCTTATAGTTTCAATTACGGTTAATTTAATGGAATGTCAGATTCAGTTATTGGAATTTAATGTGTTTTTGAAACAGCATTTCCTCATGAATAAATATAACATAATCTAATTTCTGTATTGTAAATATATTATTATTAACGATAGAGATGAGAAAAATTAAATGAGCAATTACTGTTAATTTCTGATAGAAAAATTGAGCAGACCATCCTGTGTAATACTAATTCAACTATAAGTTGGAAAATCTGATACATATATAGCTTGTACGACCTAAATGCATTTGCAGACGAAAAAGTATAGCTTCGAGCAACTGTATATGCTTATGAAATTACTGTTTCGATCGGGATGTATTTAACCCTATGAATAATCTAACCGATTACCCGAGTAAAGCCCAATCAATTAAAAACAATGATACAATCCTATGAATTACGATAAGGAAAACACGGATAGATTTTAATTTTTGGTAACAACGGATAAGTTATGATAGCATTTATATCGGAGCATTTTTTGGTCCACATAGACGTATCAGGATTCTTATGGGAACTTAATATTTTCTATCAGGCTTTTTCCACAGGGAAGGTTATAGGTTAAGATTTTTCAACGTTACTGTCATGGAGACTACATAAGGAGCACGAGCTCTAACGGGTCAATTGCCAAAGTTTGCCCACTAAAATTGTGGGTATTAAGCTTTTTTTTCTACCACTGGTGTCACTCATGTTCTTTGTGGACCGCTCTGGAAATAGCATCATAAATATATGTGAAGTAAGCTAGTAAATACTAACCTTTAATTTGTATTAAAATAATAAATATTGGTAAATGCTAAAAATTGAGAAAATAAAAATTTTGAAAAATCAAAAATGGGTAGAGTTTGTGCGGTTAAAAATTGCAATAGTGGGAGTGCAGCTGATATGAAACAAAGACGTGAATTGAATTTAAGAAAACCAACATTTTTCAAAGTGTCCAAGGTAAGTTTAAATATTTAATGATGAATTAGCAGAGAATTTGGAGAATTTTTCAGAATATGATTAACATTATGATGATAATTTATACATACAATGATATTTCATGAGTAAATGGACTTATTTGTACAATACTGAAATCAGTAGACATCTGACAATTTTTAGTTTTCATAGCAAATTAACTGCGATAAAAAAAACTATTTTTCAAAATCTCACTTAAAATTTTTGTTTCTTCAATTTCTACCCGTGTAATTCTTTTTATTAAATTTTTTTCATGATAGTTGAAATATTTTAAAACTCCAAAAAAATTAACAGATGTCTGTTAACTCAGTATCATTTATTTTTACAACATAGTGGTTCATGTTAAAGTTATTAAAAAAAAATTTTTTTTTATTGTGTTATTTTGAGCAGAGTCCAACAAAGCGTAAAAAATAGATAGACTCTTTATCCACAGAATTAAGTGCTCAACAGTATGTTTGCGACTTACATTTTCAAAATAATGAAATTCGAGATTGTTATATCACAAATTTACCAAATGGAGAAATAAATCTGCTCAGTAAAGGTCGAATGACACTCACCCTAGGATCAGTACCTTTGATAGCAAATGAGACACGATTTCCGATGGTTGAAGACTGCGGAAAACAAGTTGATTTAATTGACATATCTGCTGATTTTGAATTACAATGTCAAGAAGATCAGCAGCAACAGCAACCGCAGCAAACAATTGTGCATCTCATTTCGGAAAAATCTTCGAATGACTTGTCAAAAAATTGTGAATTACTTGTAGAACATGGACATGAAACAAGTGCAGCATCAACAGGAGCAACAGCCACAGCAACAACAAGTAATCGGAAAACACCCGGAAAAATCTTTAAATGGCTTGTTAAAAAATACTAAGATACTAGGAGAGCATGAACAGAAGCAGCAGCAACAAGAATTTGAATTACAGTTTACTAACGATGAAATGAGTATAGAAACCACAAGGCAAGCAAAACTATTAAGTAATGACAATGATCAGGTTAGATTAGCTGTAAAGAGAAGATTGAGATATCCTGACGATAATGTAACAATGAAGCGTCAGAAAAAGTTTGAGCATGAGATAGATTGTAACCGTCACGTAAGTTTTTTTTTATCATAAAATTTTAGTATTAGCACAAAAAAATCACATGCGATTTTATTATTCTAGATGAACCTTAGTAATGATGCAGAAGTTCTGAGTATTATCATTACATTGAACGAACAATTTCCAATTGCTTGGACCTTTGTTCCTGGCATTAATCAATTGATCGCCATTCAATTAGATCGTGTCAAATTAAATGAGCGAGTAAGACTAATAATAAATGATGATCAGTCTGTCTTGGTAAGAATAAGTATAATTTTATGATTTATTTAAAGAAACAGTTTGTCACTTTCTTTTATAATTAACTTTTTTGTTATAAGTAACATATTCAGAGCATTATAAAAGAAAATTGACTTACAAATAAAATCTGTCAATGATTTAATTAACTTTATAAAGAGTATGGAGTTAAAAACGTTATGCACTGGGACAGGATATGATTTAAAAAAGTATTCTTTTTATTTGAATAGTTTTTATATTTTTTTTTTAGAGCTGAATACTAAAAGAGTGGAAAGTGAAAATTATCAACTAATTATTCTTCAATTTTTTTATTACAGTTTTTCATTAAAATGTCACGGTGATGTGAGCGATATTTATAAACGAAGCCAAGCAACACCACGATGTTCTGAGTGTCGGAAACTTCGTGTGAGGTTGCTCAAATTAAAAAAAGGTCAAAAGCTTAATATCGCAGACAAGGCAGAAGTGACTTCTAAAGCTATTAATTTAGAACTTGTTAAAAAAAAACAAAGCGCATTAAGCAACAGGTATAACTAATTTTTTGAATGACTTGTTGATTTTCAAATGCAGTTCTTTGTAATATCGCTATGATATTTGCTTTTATTACTAGCTTGCATTATTACTGAGAATTTCAAAATTTTTAACTGTTTACAAAGTTATAAATAATACAGCTTTAATTATTTGAGGAATATTTTAATTATTATTTTTTATTATTCTAGCTACAATCGTGTTCATCAAAATTACGTGATATCCAAAGGAAAACCAAAACCATTTATAAAGGTAAATTTAATAAAAAAAAAGTGTGTGTCAGCTCCGACACACGACTAGAGTTTACTCCTTACGAACGATTATAAAATAAATAGATTAGTGAATAAGAGTACATGAATGTATTTCTCATATTACTTAGAGTATGCATGACACATCTACAGATTGATTTTTATTCATTGAGTAATTTTCTCAATTTTGAAATAAATATCAATTGATATAAATTTATATTTATATCAATTATAAATAAAATATAAAATTTACGATAAAACCTCCGCAAGTTGACAGTTGTTGTAGGTTAATATCAGGTTAATACAATATGCAATTGAAAGTAAATATATTAATTATCGTATTCGGCTTATTAAACCTACCTCGGGGTAAAACAAACGAATAGCAGCAGACTGGATCTGAAGTTTTCAAGATTTAAAAATTTAATTTGAGGTCCAATCAAATGATTTTGTATTCACTGCCTCGGGGTAGGTTTTGTAAGCCGAACACGACAAATGATTATTTGAATCGGAATTTTTAATTATTTGAAAATTTTGAATCGGCTCATTTTACGTAATGCTAGGCTAAGGATCAGCTAAAATTGCTTATCTAGATTCTAAAACGGCAACATTTACGATTTTCAATTTTACGGAAATTCAATATTTAAAATAATATTGTTTGAGAAATGTTTTATCACCAATGCGATCACTATTTTTCGACTAGTTTTAAACTAATTCAAGTCGAAATGGAGCATTCCATCTTCGCTAAAGATCGA